AAGCAACGAAACTTACGATATATAGGGATGGGATCATTTGATTGCCACACATGACCCACCATAATGCTTCACAAATGTCAAATGGGACCAAAACCCTGAAAACGACTACAAAGATTCCACCGAAAATCAGAAAATCTTTTTGCTTTCACTTTTTCCCTTACCTTCCAGTTTACATGTAGCACAAACTCACATATATCAGTGAAAACGAACCAAAAGAAAGGGCTAATAACCTTTGCTTCTATGTCTTCTTGTCGAGCTACAACCACAAAGCATATTAGAATAGGATTTCTGTCGATCTTCAGATTCAAAAGTTTTTAGGGTTTTTGTCGATCTTCCCTGATCATCCAAAAAAATGAGTTCGATAAGAAGGGGAGTGGAAGGAAGGAACGAAGAGTATGGAGAAGTTTAGAAGATCGGCCGTGCTTACCTCCGCCTCCCTGCCGATCGCAACCTTCTCTCCTGCCCGATCGACCGCCTCCAGCAAAGAAGAAACAAAAGGAAGATGGAGTCAACCTCCCCTTCCCGATCGAAGAGAGTGTACTGCTTCTTTCCTCTGCCCTTATCCTCGCTTTCCCTGTACGATCGTCTTGTCGTCTTCCCCGACGTCCTCCGCCTCCAGCAGTGAAGAAAGGGAATCGACAAGAAGAATGAGCAAACCCCTTCTTCTGCCCTTTCTTTTTTACTTGGTCTAACAAAACAAAACAAAAATTGTACAAAAAAATAAAGTAAAATTAAATTAAAATGAACTGAACTAGTATCGTACCACTAGCACTGGTAGCGGTACCAGTAGAGAATAACACAAAAACCAGATGATAATGATACGCTACCAGAAGAAAATGGTACCACTAGTCGGGAAAAAAATCCAGATCTAGAAAAGGGGAGCTGGTGACGAGAGAGAGGCAGAGGGGAGAGGGTGACCTCGCGATGGCGGCAGTGGTGGGAGATGAAGGGCGGCGAGAGGGCTCTGATGGGAAGAGGATGATTGTGTCGCGGTAGTGGGAGACGGACATTGCGACGGGCTGGCGGGAGAGAGTTGCAATGGCAGGGGTGGAGGGAGGTTGAGGATTGCGGAGGCAGCGGTGGCTGCAGGAGACAGGGGCGATGGTGCTGGGAGTGGAGGGCTTGTGGCGGTGGAGGACTCTGCGACGGTTATTGCTGCGGGAGAGAGGGAGGAGGGAGAGAGGGAGGATAGTGTAATTAGAGTTTTTTTCTATTTATATGGTAGGGTGAATGATTGTGTGTGGTAAATTTTTTCTCTTCCAAAAATACCTTTCCTTTAATCTTAACCGTTAATTTGAAAAAAGAATAAAGAGACAAGAGAGAGAACGTATCCAAGGACTATGAAGTGGGTTGTGAACTATTACATTCCCCTTTCCATGTGAAGCTATTTAGGTTTGCTTAATTAGATGAAAGATGACTATGGAAGTCTTATTAGCGGGGAGATTGTAAGCAAAATTGCCACCTCATTGCTGGCCATCACACCTTCTGATACATGGGCAAAAATGATCCCCCAATCACTACCTGATGACACGTGTCCAAGGTAAGTGATAGAGATGAAATATCTCCACCACTTCAGGAACAGACCAACAACTTTATCTCTCCACTCTCCTATTCTGTTTCATTCTGTTCCTTAGTTTTAGCAATCCTCTGCGTAGGATTTGCCCTTCTGTTACATCTACTGTTGTACATAAACATATATTCAATAAATAGCAACTCAGGTTTTCTGAGACACTTTCATGGTATCAGAGTCTCAAATCCTCTAACGAGGTGCTCTGTTTTTCTTTTCTTTCTTCCGGGCCTTAAGTTCCATGGAAGTTATCCCTCTTTCCCCGCTTCAGTCGCTACCTCCTTCCTTCTAGTTGCCCGGATTCGGAGTTTCAGAACCGCAGCCAAGCAGCCGCGCTCTTTCTCCTCTTCTTTTGGACTAGGTAGTAACCCCGCTGCTATCCCCTTTCTCATGTCTTCTGTCCTACATCTTCCTCTTCCCTTCTTTAATTCTCAGACCCTCCCCATTTCTATTCTTCTTCTTGTTCTTCTCATTCCGGTTACCATGGAAATTAGTCAATTACACTATCTTCTCCTGCATCATGTCTTCTGAAATACTATCCTCACATTTGCTTCCACTTCTCCTTCTCACTACTGAAATTATGTCTCTGAATTCCTTACTTCCTCTTCTCGTCCCTTCCCTTCTCTATTTCTAGCTTCCTGTCGTCCCATTCTTTCTCCTTACTCCCCTTTCTAATTGCCAAACCGCTCCTTAGTACTTTTCTCCTTACTCTTCTACAAATCTCCCTACGCTCTTTTTCTTTCCTTTCACTAGTTCTCCTGCCAAGTTCAGGAATCGACTGAATCCACCTCTTCACCCTTCACACACTGCTCCTCCTGACCTTTTATTCCTTCCCTTTGAAATCCTTTTTCTATGATATCATTGAGTTCTCCATAATATATTCAATCCTTCTCCTCACTAGTCACTCCTACTATTGCGAGTTTTGCCGCATTTAAGCTGGCCCCACTGCCTCCCAGTGCACCCTGGGTCTGCACTGGCGATGACAATACCATCTCGTTGGCGATGCAGCCCACTCCATCAACCGCATATCAGTGACTGATCCTGCCGTCACAAACTCCTCCAATGACGAGGGATCGCCAAGCAGCAACTATGAGTTCCTTACTACCGGCACCAGAACAACACACAGACGGCCTCACCAACCCATTGACTCGGCTCTCATTTCGACGATTCTACTCCAAGTTTCACCTCACCGAGGTTCCACTTGCGGGGGCGTGATAGAGATGAAATATCTCCACCACTTCAGGAACATACCAACAACTCTATCTCTCCACTCTCCTATTCTTTTTCATTTTGTTCCTTAGTTTTAGCAATCCTCTACGTAGGATTTTCCCTTCTGTTACATCTACTGTTGTATATAAACAATATTCAATAAAGAGCAACTCAGGGTTTTCTGAGACACTTTCAGTAAGTACCCTTACCTTTCAACTATTTTAACACTTCAATAAAAGCTACGCCAACCAGAGGCGCATATAAATAGGACACTCATTTATACTTTTTGGCAGTTCATTTCATATTGAACTCTAAAACTCTCTTTAGAATCGGCTCAATACGCCGCTCCATGTTACTCTCCTCTCAAATACTAACTTGAGCTTTGGAGCAGGTCTTTGGTACTAAGATATATTTCACTATTGGACTGTGGTTCTCCTAAGTTTTGTCCGATCTGGTCTGGACCGGACCGAAGCCCACCCTTAATTGTGGCTATTTGGACTTTGGGGATAATATATCGTCCCTTTTTTATATATGGTTGGTGTATCGTCTCCATAGGTGCAAATTGAAGTCAACAAATCATTTAAGGACAACAAGTGATCCCTTATACTATATCTTTGGAGATGACAAGTTTAGATATTTGTAACATTTAGAGATGAATAAGTTGCTACATAAGTTGTGCCCTGGACGAAAAATTGTGTTTTAGGGACAAATATTCCATATTTCTCCGTAGATTAAGAAAATTGTATAAAGCAAACAAAAACTAGATTGAGGAACTTGGATACAAACTGATATGATAACATACAACAATTAAAATTTTATTCTTAATAGGACATGAAAATCATTAGTCATGTAACTCAGTGGCGGATGCAGGGGTGCCCACTTTGGGCGACGGCCCAACCCTCCTCTGGATCTGGAGCTAGTATATTTCTTAAGAGTTTATCGATTTTAGTCATTTGGTTTAGTGTATTTTATAATAAGATTGTGTGTAATTAGAAAAATGGGTTAGATGAACATATTCAAATCACAACTCTAAATTTATAATAGAAATTCTAGCTCCAATGATTCTCGTCTAAAGAAAAATAAACAATGAAACCTAAAAGTCTAAAATGTAAAATACTAAAAGAAATATGAGGTTTGTTTCCTTCAAAAAATTTACTAGAGCAGTTGGTGGAAATAGGGATGGACACACAATACAAATTGATTAGTCAATTGATTTGTCTAGTGTTGACATTGCCCATTTCAACAGCTACTATCGAGAGAACCTTTTCATCATGAAACAAATGCAAAATGATTTGCCCAACAAAATAAGTGATAAATTTCTCGCCGATTGGGTAGCTATTATATTTAAAAGATAATAGTATGTTATTGGTATGGATGTAGACTCCATTATTGATTAATTCGCTATATCAAAAGATCGACATGTACAATTGATTTTATAAAAAACTATGATTTTTTACGGGATCAAATTTTCTAATTAAATGCGGCCCCTTTCCATTAAGTATTGGATCCGCCGCTGATATATGTAACTTATAGGGACAACTAATAAAGATTTTTTTAGAGAAGTCTTACTATCCTCGCTAATTTAATTTGCTTGCGGTTTGAGTTCAAGTTCAATTCATCTCTCATCTACCAGAAAATCATGTTGGGGCACTCATGTACAAAGGTGAAAGAACACTAAGGTGGGAAACAATTTTTAGCGAGCATTGTTTTGACAATTAATTTCGAAAACATAATAGTTTGAGAAAATTAAATCACAAACTACGAAAAAGGAAATCTAAAAAATCTCATGCACAAAGGTAATTACAAAATCGTCATTTTTCCAACTTACGGGCTTCATTAAATAATTCTAGATTTAAAAAAATTCTTCATATAAAAAAATCAAGCAATTCTTCATAAAATAGAATCCTATGAAATCTTCTTCTTTATGGAAACTTCTAGTTTTGGGAACACCTAAGAAGTTACAAAATTAATTAAAATTTATTCACTTCTTTTATGGGGACAATTTTATACACTTGTCTCTTAAATAACTTAAAATAATATTTTTTACAACAAACTACTCAGTGGTCTCCAAATCCTTTCCCCTTTCTACTTTTAATAAAACTATATCATCTTTATAAAAAAAAATCTGACTAAATTTATGAGTATCAAAAGATGTGGCACATCCATAAATAAATAAATAAAAGTCCTGAAAAGAATTCCATCAAAACAATTAGTATTGAGCTAGTTATGGGCAGGGCAGGATGGTTGGATCCATGGGAGTTGAAAAATCTTGGCTGCCACACATGCTGCCGTCTATGCTTAAAACTCCTTCACCCTGCGCGTTATATTAGGGCAAAGCACATGATCATTTAGCTAAATGGGCATTGTGGAAGATGCAATCATTTTCGACACATATATGTACACGTACGTAAATCGCACACACACCTTAGCGATGTTCCTTAGGAAGGTGGTGGAAGCATTCCCGGGCGAGGAAAATGCTTGAATAAGATCTGCTAAAACCAATTGAGGCTGCGACACTGCTCCGTCGTACCAGTCTTGATTGCAAATTTGGTCGAGAAAGATGTCCAGAACAACCAACCAACGCAATTATATATTAGCTACTAAGCAAATCAATGGAGGACAAGATTAAAAACAGTCTAGATAAACCCATTATTATAAATATATTACCAAGAGTTGAATTGTAGGCTCGTTTATCGTATCTCCACAAGGTTTGGTTGGTGAGGAAAGCAAAGCAAGAGTGGTCTTCGACACCCACGTTGTCAAGGAAGCTTGACACCGTGTATGCCGCGGGATCAAGAGTTGCGGTTTCATCAATCACCACGTCCACCGTCTGATAGAGATTAAAATGTTAGACAAAACAAAAACAAAAACAAAAACAAAAACAAAGTGTCGTCTGTGAAGTAAACGTACACAAAGGATAGCATGAAGTGCCTCCAAGTCATCTGGATTGGAGGTATTGTAAGTGATTCTGTTGATAGAGGTATCTATGTTCTCCCCACCTGCATCTTCCACGTACTGCGTGCATGCACGTAGCTTAATATTAGTTACTCGGTTGATATATATATATATATGGTGGCGTCTTTTGTGCATCCATTTTTTTGGGTTCATTCAATACACTCGTCTTATAATCGTCGTTTTTTGCAGGCGATTTATGTGAAACGATGTTAATCGTTACTTGTGATATGATGGAACAGAAACCCATGAATTTGCACAAAAATCGTTCAAGATTTATTTTAATTTGAATGATTTGAGGTTTAGAGATTTAGGGTTAGGGTTTAGGTCTAGAATTTGGGGTTTTGGGTAGGGATTCAAAATTGAAGGTTAAAGAGTTAGGGTAATGGATTGATTAGTTGTGATTCTATGTTATATCATCATATTAGACTAATGCTACTAATTAAAATTCAAAATTCGATGTATTATGACCACTTTTAAAGTTGAATGCACCAAAAAAAGTGATTGCACCGAAGTAGCCACACTATATACATATAATTTACCCAATGTACGATAGCACCACCCATATATATATATGGTCCTGTCTTCGGCGCAACTCACTTTTTTTGGTGCACTCAATGCACTCATCTCATAATTGTCATTTCGAGCATACAAGTCAAAACGGTATCCATGATTACTTGTGATACGATGAACAAGAAACATATGAATTTGCAAAAAAAAAAAAAAATCATTCAAGATTTACTTCAATTTGAAGGATTAAGGGTTTAGGGATTTAGGGTTTATAATTTGGGATTTTGGGTTTGTGTTCAAAATTTAAGATTTAGGGGTTAGGGTAATGAATTGATTAGTTGTGATCATATCATCATATCACACTAATGCTACCAATTAAAATTCAAAATTCAATGTATTAAGGATTTAAGGTTACTTTTAGAGTTGGGGTGCATTGTATCTCATTTATAATTTTATCAAAGTTTGAGTCAGCTCATTGTTTCCCAGCCGAGATTTACTACACTCGTGATTGTATCTTGGTCTCTAGAATTTTATTGGAGTATTTAGTTTGTAGACAGTAGATATAATGGCGTGGTAGCTAACCAAGCACCTTTTGTTGAATGTAAAATCAGGATTTGGTGTTGAGTTATCCTTGAACAGACTTTACTAGTTAGAATCCAAATTCGAGCCAAGTTTGGGGTCGGGCTTAAGCTACAACCGAGTTGTAATGAGTTGAACTAGATCAATCTTTCAAAAAAAAAAAAAAAAAAGTTGAACTCGATCTGGTTCGTTGAACTCATTGTCAAGTCGTACTCCAGTTTCGATTTTGTAAAATCAAGTCAAGTTTTAGCCTCCCTAATGTATAAAGTTCATGTCAAAGTCTAGTTTAAGTACTATTTTATTATTATTGTGACGAGCACAGGGCAGGACTAAAGACAGCTCGACTCGATTCGTTAATTAAATATATAAAAGAATCAAATGCAAATATTGATAACATGAAAATAAAAAGGATGACAATATAATTATTTGATCTTTTACAAGTGTGGAGTACCTACCTTCAACTTGGACTTATCCTGGGTGAAGGACCAAATGTCCTGGGTCACCAATACATGCACAAAGAGGAGAAGTCAAATTCAAATCAAAATTCTCCAATGGATAAATGTCTCCCAATTAATCAACAATCTATTTGAAATCATCTATTCACGGCCAATGAGTCTGGACTAGGGCTGGCTATTTGGACCGGGACTGGATGAAAAACCGGAAACCAGACCGTATAACCCGGACCGAGATCGAACCGAGACCGGATAGTAAACAATCCAATATAAAATCAAGACTGAATTGGGACCGGACCGGGTCAAGACCGGACCGGATCAAGACCAGACTGTATCCAATCCAATCTTCGGTCCTTGTATTTTCAAAAAAACCGGACTGTACCGGATCAATTTGGGCCAATTTAACCGGACCGTATAGCCACCCTTAGTCTGGACATTTGAAAGACATTAATATAAAAATTTGTGATGCTTTTTATAGGTATATATATTTACTAACATTGTAGAAAGCGAGCCAGGCTACCACCGGCTTGAACGGTCTGGACTGGTTGGCTACAGCTCCAGCTAAGCACAAATAATTTTCTTTAATCTGCCAAACTCAAAACAAGAAGATGAAGCATCTTTTAAGGGATAATAGTATTTTATGTCCCTCTACTATGACAAGTTAACAAACATGCTCCTCTACTGTTCTTTTGTACTTTTGTATCCCTTTATTAACAGACTCACCATATCATAAACTTGGTTGGCTCTTGTCTCCAGGTTTGCGAAAACACCGATGAATTTTATCCACTCTGCTCGCTGCATGCCAATCACTATATATATTCAGTGTTTTTCCCCCTTCTTTCAAAAAAGTAAGACATGTTTATTTTCATTTCTGTTTCCTGTTTTTTAGAAAACAGATGTTGAAAACAGGTGATCAAAAACAACATTTTGTCGTTTCTGAAAACAACAGGAAGTTGCCACTTTCTGTTTTCATAGTTGGAAACGAATAGAAAATGAAATGAAATGTAAACAAGTTTTCTCATTTCGGTTGCCAAATTTATGACATGAAAACCAAAAACAGGAAAGGAAAATGGAAGTATATAGAAAAAAACAAGAATATTTAGTACTTGAAAATGAGAGTATAGGGATAGGAAATGCAAGGAGTAGAAATATTACAAAGGATGGTAGTACCTGTAAAGGGTGGTCCTCATAGAAAGGCAGGAAATCAGCCAAGTTGCAATAGGTCTGTTGTTGATCAGTGTTGGTTACAAAATGGGCAGCAAATTGCATCAAGTCTTCCGGTGCATCTTTATTAAGTATTGTAATTTGTCCTTCTCCATATAGTTTCAAAGCACATGCAGACGCCACTGCATTTGTTGTGATTCCCTTCAGAAGCCCCAGTAACCCTAGCAACTGCATTCCATCTTTTCACTTTAATTCACAAAAAATGTTCCTCGTATATTAATGTTGCTTCATGGTTGGTTTGTGAGAAATGAACACGAATAGACATAACTGTTGGGTATTCTACAATCCAGGAAAGTAATAAGATAACTCGATTGTTTTTATATGTTATATACTAGGTTCGACAGGTTACATTTCGTAAGATACGACATACATTATTAAGTAATGATTACATAATGTATATGCTTACCTTACATAACTAATTCTTACTTAATCGATGGCCCATTTATGTAATGAATATTTACTTTGTGCGTTGTTTCATAAAGTTTTAAGTCATTACATAAGTAGTATAACGGCAACGACAAATTCGTATAATAAACCAATCCAAGTCGGCCCATAAACCACCAAGGTTCATATAGATAACAAATTAGTATCAGAGTCTGGCCGGCGATTGTATGCCAACAAAATCTAGCTAGGCAGATGTAAAGGAAAAGCACAACCTGCACGAAAGACCGGAACTCTCTACCAGGGGTTCAATATTTAGTGCCTAAGATATTGTCTAAAGTAAATTTTATTATAGCCTTATATAGGACATGATTAATTCGATATAGTAGATTTGGGAGTAATATAATAAGTTATCATATCTCAATAACGTCACTCGAACTATCTCTAATGCAAGCTATTTTACATGATAAATCATATACCCAATACTTAATTATTTATTAATGTGATTATCACCATCTTTAGCAAGGATGAGTTAAGAGTTTATACTTTAGTACCTAAGGCATTATCTATATATAGTAAACCTTGCTCTAGCCTTACATAATGACTATAAAATATTTGAGAAACTATTCTGAGTCATCTTTATCATAATAAAACACAATCATTATTTTTATAGTACTGATAACCTACGCACCATGAGAACTTTTCCGTAGACAACAGGCTTTTTTGCAGCTAGTGAACAAAAAAAAAAACTTATTGGAGGAAAGCAGCTTACTGGAACTTTTGAATAACTTTACCTCGAAATAGGATACTGCAAAAGCAAAACAAAAAAATGTATGAAAGTGATGTGAAGAGGATAGAACGATTTATGATGATGAGTTTGGTCTAAAATAGAGGGGGGAAAAGGCTACTCCCCACAGTGGAACATTTTTTTAGCAACCGATCAAAATGAGATCAATATATATATAATTAGTTGTTGTTGATGATGATTTGGAATTTGGGGAAGAGCAGTAGTTAATTACCAGGGAAGAAGTAAGTATCAGCGGAGAAGTTTGAGAAAGGAACCACAAAAGATCGGATCCTTTGGGTGCAGTACTTTGTCCTCGTAGCGGCCATCCTCGAGTTATTCTGTCCACCCAACCCAACCCAACCCAAGAAAAGAAAAAGAAACCACAAAATTATACTCCAATCTGATCTGATCTGACCAATTAATTACTTAATTAACTATCTAGCTGATGGATAAATCTAATTAGTGAAATGAAATGGTAATTGGGGACCTGGATGAGAAGGTAGCTCTTGGCGTCAATGACATTCTTGATGACTTTGAAGGTCTGGCCGTAGTAGATGTGGAAGTTAGCTGCATCCTCCACCTTCGACACCACATTCACTGCTGTTCCTGTTCCTGTTCCAACACAAAACGCCGCCGCCACCGCCGCCGCCACCAACGCTCGCCACCAACACATATTTGTCTAGTTGGGGGTGGGAGATGGAAGCCAAACAAGGAGAGAGAGAGAGAGAGAGAGAGAGAGAGAGAGAGAGAGAAGGAACGGTGGGTTGGTTTGGATTGGATTTGGCGGTGCTGACGGTGGGGAAAAGAGGAGTGTGGAGAAATGGGCGGGGGGTACAATTCATTTTCATTAATTAATTAATTAAAGCATGCCCGTGAACTACAACTACTGCATTGCTCTGTCTTTTCTCGCTCGCCTCTTCTTTTGGCTTCTTCTTTCTCACACATTCATTCCTTGTTTGATTCCAATTTGCCAATTTCCAACCATTTTTTGAATTTATATTCTCAATTCTTGGAATAAATTAAGGGCTACGAGGTTGTCAATCCGGTCATCTGCTTATATAGTTAAGAGAGATGAGGGATAGTGGTCAAATATGATACTGCAAATTTTGTTCACGTATACTAATTTTTGTAATACAAGTAACAAACAAAATTGTGAAATTAATACAAATGAAATCATGCAAACACATATACAACGTCCTAGCAGACATAATACACTGTCTCTCATTAAGAAATCTTATTCCCCTTTAGAATCTAAGGTTATGGAATGATTCCTTCCATGATAGAAAGGACATACCTTTTTGGCGTAGCGGTACCTCAAACCCCGAAAATCAAGGAACGCAGAAAGAGGACGAGAACCACACTTGACTCGATTTTTCTTTTGAAAACAATGCAAAAAAATAATTTGGGCTTTGGCATAGGGGATAGGTGTTATTTATAGTTTATGAATGGATGTGAGTGAAGGGATGTGACCCTTCGGATGGGTGATTACAACCCAACCAACGCATTGGTTCGTTTTAAAATTATAAACCATTGCATCCGTTCGGTCCATGTTAGTTGGACCGGTTGGTTCACTCCTACCGCCACATTGGTTTGGTTCAAATTGGTTGGTCTGGTTGTTTACACAAACCAATTTGACCAATTACCAAAATATTTAATCAAATCAATTAACCGAATCTAAGGACTCCTTCCCATATATAACCAATATGGTATTTCAAGAGCTTCTCTTGGCTCATTCACATTTCATTCTCATTCACACCATTCAACATCCCAACAATCCCCCACATGAAAACTGAATGCTAAGTTTTGAAAACTATGCAGAACTGTTTGATTTTTTACTAAGATTTAGTTGCATGGGGATATGTGGGTTTCCCTTTGAACCTTCCTTAGTGAACATATATCAAGTATACTCACCAACCGGTAGATGTGATATCTTTGAACCGTCGGTTTTGCTTGTATACTAAGACAACATATGTCACACAACTAACTCTTATATGTTCACTAGTTCTCATAGTTGTGTTCGTTTAAGCCTTAAACACCGCTTGCTCTCATGAGTGCTAAGAGAACATACCTTCTTTTATTTTCCTTGAAGCGGCTCCACTTCACACTCACATAGGTGATTTCTAAACATGTATTCCGAAAATACACTATTTGATCACATCACGTGTCAAACTTAGAAACCATTAAAACCTTTCATATTTAGGTTTACCCTTATTTTGGACATTGTCGCATCCTGAGAATGGACTTTGAATAATTTGACAATGTCGGACCATCATTCACAACTTCGTTTGCTCGTTGAACCTAGAAGTTGGGTCTGCCAATCCTGCTTAGGTAGAGTTACCGCTATAGGTGTCAAAACAGAAACCGACCCGACTAACCCGACCAGCAACCCGACCGCAACCCAAATTGACTAAAAGTCAATGTCCCGCAACCTGCCCAACCCGCAACCCGATTGACCCGTGACCCGATTAACCCATAACCAGAATAACTCTCAATCCGATTAACCCGAACCTGATTGACCCAAACCCGATTGGCCCGAACCCGACTAACCCGTAACCCGCCCGATTGACCCAAATAATTACTATATTGTATATTATATAAATTTTCAAATGAAGTTTGTTTGTTGTAAGACTAAGTAAAACTGGTTTTTCATTTTATAAAGGAAAGTTTAAAAAAATTATATTGAGTTGAAATTATGTATTTTTAATAAAAGAAAGAAGAGAAAGAAATAAGGGGGAGTTTGGATACTTTGGTTTATAGGAAAAGAAGGAAGTGGAAAATTTTAGTGTTTTCAACTTTTTGGGAGAAAAAGAAAGAAGGGAGAGTGACTCGCTAAAACACAACTCCTAACAATGACCAAGTGTAACCAATGAAATGGACTGCAGTATAGTGGTCCAAGTAATAAATATCGAATCCTCGGGTCTCTAAATGTACTATTACTCAGCTTTCGTTCATTATCTAGCAAATCATAATGAGGTTTGATTAACTAAACTACTCTACAAGTTAAACTAGGTTAGACTACTAATTATAGGTTGGGAACACACTTAGGTATGATTCCCCATAGTCACTAGCCAGATTAATGATTGATGATCTCTAACTTGTTTCACTTTCATTCACAATGCGGAGAATCCTTGACTAGACCTTAAATCTCGACTAAAGAAGTCAAGGCCTTCTTGAGTCAATTGCCTAGAGGGATGTGTCGTTCTCCAGAAAAACTGATCAAGGCGTTCTGAACTCCCTAGTCACCAGAAATAATAGTTGAACATCCCTAACGTTAACGTGTTCAACTCGCTTGAATAATTTTTTAACAAATTAACACTTGGTCCAACCTGCCACCTACAAAAGCAGATAAAGCTCGCTCACAACACTCGTCAATACCTTAGATTCAGGTTCAATTTTTTTCCCAACCATAAGAAGAAGAAAAAAAAGAAATTTATAAATGCTAAAATCGGTTTCAAGTCGCTTTGACCTGATTGAATTAGATTGGATACCCATTGATTTGGATTCAATTGTGATCATGCTCAACAAAAAAGGAAAAGTAAAAGAAAAACACTAAAGCGGACGAAACTCGATCCTTTTACCAAACTCACCAACATTTAGTAGATATGGTAACGGCATTGGAAAACGGTGGAAGGGGACAGCTTAGGATTCCGTTGACAGTGCTTAGAGAAGGTTATGAATTGGTGAGCATTGTTGATGATTGGACAGAGCATATCTAGTATTGTCTTTGGTCGCGACCATGGCAAACGGTGTAAGAGAGCAACTCAGGATTTCACCGACAGTGTTTCGAGCCGGATTGCGAAATGTTGTGAAAAGTGGATAGTTGTTGGCAATGTAGTCAAAATCGCGCTTTAAAACTTAAAAACTTACGATTTTACGTTTCTAGTTCACTAAGACGCTTCTACACAAAATCTTAGTTTTTATAACTTATGTAGTTAGAACTCCGCTTTAAAACATAAAAACTTATGATTTTAACCTTCTAGATCACCAAAACATTTCTACGTAGAAACTCGCTTTTGACTACATTGGTTGCTGCAATAGCGAGTTGAAAACCTAGTAGGCAATAATTGTTATGGGAAACACAATGGACAATAGATTTAAACCTAGCGAACACTCATGTGTTTGGGTTCAATTATGATAATGCTCAACAAAAAAAAAAAAACTAAACAAGATGAAACTCGATCCCGATATAAAACTTGTGGTAGCGGTCTTGGGAAACGGTGGTAGGGAACAACTTAGAAGTTCGCCGACAGTATTTTAAGATGGGTTGCAAAATGATTGGCAAAGGCCAAAGGCGATGATTTGTGTTTGGGTTCAATTGTGATCATGCTCAACAAAAAGGTTGTAGAATTGAGAGTTGGAACTCCTCTACCTGTACTTAGAGAAGTGTGAGAGCCACTAATAAATAGTAAATTACAATCTAAACTTTTATATATTAATTTCTATAGTAATAATCTTCACGAAAGACTTTTTCATATATATTCAAACTAAAACTATCATACCATTAACCCTCACCTCCACCAAATCTCTTAACCCTTTCTCTTTTTATTATCAAAACCCCCAATTAAAATATTTTAAGAGAACACGCACTTACTCGCGTTTCACTGGACTACTGGAGTCACCGGAGAAATCCCCCTTAAAAACTCTTAGCGGCGGCGTCTCTGTCTAGTATCTACTATCTACTCAACAAAGACTGGATGTCGTGGGTTATATCTGCCTGTGCCTTTGCACCGGCGGCCACGCCGGTGGTGATCTCTGCCGACTTGTCGCTGCATACATCTGCTGGCCGGCTCAAACCCATTTCCCTCTCTTGGGTTTCTTCTTTTCCTACTCTGAACTTGGTCGTCGGTAGCGAACCACTGGTACAGCCCTCGCCTTCTTCCAATAACAAGGTACACAATCTCTACTCCTGGTATAAATAAGAATGCTAAAACTAAGATTCTGGGGAAGTTGGTTGTTCTCTGCTTTTTCCTAGTTTAAATTCGAACCTGCGCTTCCGCGTAGCAGTGATGCTTTGGGGATATTTGCACGGTTTGATTTTTCCTGGTTGTTGAGCATAATTGGGGAACTCCGCGACTCAGTTCGGCAATCTGGACTCGGGGGTGCATCCTAAGCTTTCAATTTATCTAACAATGTTGAACTGTTGTGGCAACCCTGGATGTATGCAACGAGCCCTTATTTTTATTTCTTAAGCCCTATCCAAAAACTTGTTCCTCCATTTCTGGATTCTAGTAAGGAACTTGTTAATGATAGAATATCTGATGATGGTCATTGATGAATTGTGTCCAGGGGACTTGAGACTTGAATTAATCTTGCAATTTCAATTCTAGATTCCACTTGTCCAATGAGCTTTAGATGGCAGTTCAAATCATTCTATTCATAGAGTAGCTTGAAGCTGTCTCTCAGCTGTTCCTGTCTTGCAAGCTTTGTCCAATACGATGAGGGATGACTGTTATCCGTAAGAAGTCGATATTCCTGTTTGCGCGTCTTCTACGCAGCACGTCGGCTTAGTAAGGTTTGGAGTGTGTTGGGACCTTTTGTTGAACCAATTCTGCTGAACAAGAGATATTGTAAGAAATATTGTTTATTAAGTGCACACTGCTCTTGAGTAAGAAGTGCTTTAAGCAGGATTAGTGTGTGTCCCCATGAAGAGACTAGTTTCTCAACTTTCATTTT